CAAAACCTATAACCAAACAAATCAAAACCATAGCCTATGAAGTAACATTTCATAAATTTGGCATCAAGCTTGTCTCTCTTTTCTGGATCAACATTAATATAAGCAGCGCAACCAAAAGTCCTCAAGTGTGAGTACTTGAGTTCTTTTCCTGTCCATACCTCCTCTGGAATCTTGAACCCTAAAGGAATTGATGGTCCCCTGTTGATCTAGTATGCAGCTGTGCTCACAGCATCCGCCCAAAATGTTTTGGCATCCCATAGTGTATCCTTATACTCCTTGTAAGCTCATTCAATGTTCTGTTTATCCTCTCAGCAATTCTATTTTGCCTTGCCTTACTAGGAACTATTCTCATCAATCTGATTCCCTCAGAAGCACAGAATGCCTTGAACTCTGATTTGTCATACTCTCCTCCATTTTCAGACCTTAGGCATTTGACTTTCAAACCGGTCTGATTCTCAACTTCAGCTTTCCACTTCTTTAAAGTTGCAAACACATTTGACTTATGCTTCAAGAAGTAAACCCATACCTTCTTGTTGGAATCATCAATGAAGGTAACAAAGAATCTGGATCCTCCAAGTGATGATACTGGAGATGGTCCCCAAACATCTGTATGGACCATTTCAAACCACACTTTCTTTGGCTCACTAGGAGTCTTTGTGAAGCTTACTCTTTTCTGTTTTCCCATAACATAGCTCTCGCAAAGACCTATATCAACAGACTTCAGGACCTCTAATGATCCTTTTGCAACCAGAATCTTCATTCCTTTAGCACTCATGTGTCCAAGTCTGTTGTGCCACAGACATGAATCCAAAGCACCTTCGGCAACAACGGCCATGTTAATACACCCTGCAGTGATGTAAAAAGTTCCAAATTCTGTGTCACGAGCTACTACCATAGCACCTTTCACAATCTTCCACAAACCTTTCCCATACTCTGCTGCATATCCCGAGCTATCAACCTAACCAACAGAGTTCAGACTTTTCTTGAGCCCAGGAATAAATCTGATATCCTCCAATGTCCACTAGTTTCCTGAGGTGGTCTTTATGCAAACATCCCCCTTTCCTTCAATCTCTAAGGCTTTATTGTCAGCAACATACACCTTTCAAAAAATTTCATATTTGAAATTTTGGAACAACTCCTCGCTTGGAGATGAATGGAAAGATGCACCAGAATCCAAAATACATGATTCAACCGGGCTATTCACACTAAGGATTAGAGCATCCCCAATGTCCTCTGTTGAATTTACAGAATCATTTTCATCTCCAGATTTCTGATTCTGTTTCTTCTTTGGATTTGTACAGCTTGTCCGAAAGTGCCTTTTTTCTCCATAGTTCCAGTAAGTCACATTTGATCTGTTCAGGGACTTTCCTTGATTCCTGATTTTGATCGACCATGTTGATTTTTGTCTTTCGTCTTACTTCTCCCCCTTTGGTCAATGCTGCGAGCACATTCCCGGTGGATCTTCCACTTCTCATTTGCGAATACTTTCGCGAAGAATAACGTCACAGATTTCACCAAACTTCAGCTTCTTAGATCCACGGGAACTGCTAATCGCAGCAACAACAGTATCCCAAGACTTGGGCAGAGATGACATCAAAATCAACGCCTTAATTTCATCTGCAAAATTAATATCCACATAATTGAGTTGACTCACAATCATATTGAACTCATTTATATGATCAGAAACAGATCCATTCTCAGACATCTGTAAATTGAACAATCTAGGCATCAAATATACCTTGTTCATCGCCGATGGTTTTTCATACATTTTTGAAAGTGCCTTCAACATATCAAACGTAATCTTCTCCTTCACGATGCTGAACACCACATTTCTTGTAAAGTCAACTGGATCAACCCTAGAGCCTGGAGATCCTTGAGCTTTCACTTCTCCTTCGTCATGGATTCCAGCTTCATCCCGGTCAACGGTTCGTGAAGATATTTCTGGTAAAGAAAATCTTCTATCTGCATTTTCTAGAAACTGAAATCGGATCCATCAAACTTCTCAATTCCAAGCTTCGAACTATCCATCTTTAGTGATCGTGTTGAATCTCCTTAGCTCTGATACCAGTTAATAGGATCGAATTCACACACACACACTTGATGAATGAAGAACACAAGAACTTTAGAGAGAAAGAGATGAGAGATCTAGAGAGAGAAATTAATATTTCGTGGTAACACCCCGTGAGTAAACTTCTACTACGGTGGGGTATATATATTAATTATTCAGAGTATTTTAGGTTTAACCGCGAGAACATTAATATATGACAGTATATCAAATATTAATCAGGTTCCACAACCTAACAAGTTGTTATCTTGAATTCATCCATTAGCAGTTCTACGTATTCATATGGTAAATTTCCTTTTTCTATTGTTTGTTTAAAGATTTTTATCATTTATAGATTTTTTTTAAAAGAGATAGAGCTTTTTTAAATCTAATTCTTTATTTACGATTTTTTTTCTTTCTGGAATTTGTTCTTACTATTTTTTGTGTAAATGTAAAATTACTATACATATTGGCTTAGAGTAATTTTGATATTCTCAACTAATTACTAATAATTATACTTTATTATGTTCGTAAATACATTGTTATGAAAATACAAATGGACAGAAGAGAAGATTTTTTTTTCTATTTTAATTATTTATTTATTTTGCTTAAACTAATCAATAGTTGAATGAAACAAGCATAACATGTATGTCTCTTCTTTCAATTTTTTTTACTTGAAAGATTAAACCCTCTTATTTATCATATTACTTGTATGATCCCTTTTGTATTTATTCTTATGTAGCTCTATCGGTTTTATTTTAGTAATATCTGATGATTTTAAGTTTCTTATATGCAATTCATATGTTTTTTAGATTGGTCCATAAGTGTGTGTGTGTATATATATATATATATATATATATATATATATATATATATATATTGAAATTATTTTTTATATGCATTTTTTTGCACATATAATTTTTAGTTTATATGGTCTTGTTTTTGCTACCATATTGGTGTATTTCATTATTCAATTATATGTATATAACTTGAAACAAATTTCTTTTGTCAATATTTACAGATGACAAAAGTAATAATTTTGAATGAGCCAAAGAAGACGAAGGGTACATATAAGTGTAATTATTATTTATATATGTCAATTAAATATTTAAATAATGATTATTTTATATAAAATAAATAATTTATTTTGTAGGTTTAGACTATGAAATTTATAATGATCTACTAGTCATCCTAAGAAAGACATATGCTGATCGAATTTCTCTACAACTATTACAAAACACTACTCTCCTTCGATAACAAGTTCTTGATATGTATGCATCTGTAAAAAAAAAAAGTGGACAACCTTATTCCTTAAAAAGAAGTTAGAAATTTTAAGTCATTAAATCTTTTGTAACTATAATGTCGACATTTAAATTATGTATTGTAACATATTAAAAATAAAACTTTTAATAATTTAAATACTTGATATATTATAAAAAGTGTATAATTGAAGTCATTATAGTATCAGTTTTGAAAGTCAATTGATAACAATTTTTTGGTATGATGTGCCTTGCGATGATTATAATATAATGCTCACTGTTAATTTATTTGATCTTGTATTTAAACATCGCACTTTTATATTTTAGAAGTATTTATACTAATTAGCGAGATCTAAACGTGCAACGCACATGTTCGAAAATAGTTAATAAATATATAGCAGATATTAGTAAATTTGTAGCAAGCAAAAAAATTTAATTTTTTTCTAATCATTATTCAGTACTCATGAGCACAACCTACATTAGAAAATTTTAAAAATTCAGAAAAATGATGAAGAAGTAACCAAATTCATTTAATTGTATCCATGCCTATACCCTACATATATTGTATAACAATTATTGATTATGATCATTCTGAAGCTATTTCCTTCTTATTCCATGCCAAGAAGAAGGTCGAAAACCCACTAGATCTTGATTAGATTAGGGAGTTTTGTTGTGTGCGTCCCCGAGTAGAAACCGATGGAACAACTTGAAAGGAAGATCAACAGATAATTTGATCATATGACTTTCTACTAAAATAGAAATCTATTTAATTTTTCTTCATGAGCTAATAATAGACAAATAGATCATCCATGACACTAGTATTTTGGTTTAGAATGCATTCTGTGATAAATAAAATAAGAATTTATTCATTTTTGCGATGACCAAATAATATAGGCTAAAGATACATTCAATTATGTATCGAGAGTTCTTGAATACTTCGAATTTAGCGTAAATATTTCATATACTTAGAAATGGACATGAATAAGGATGTAATTTAAGCTAAATACTATATGTTCATGATTAAGCCCATTTTTAATAGTATGCAACTAATTCCTTTATGAAATAACTTTTATTGCATAATTTGGATATCATCTTAATTCATGTTAAGTAAACATATATGAGTATACACTACTTAGGTGAGCTCACATGTATTATGATTTATGAAGATCAAAGACAAAAGATTCCAAAACGTAAAAGCAAAGTATTTGATACCAAGACAACGAACCTGGTTCAAAAGTCTCTAGTACATGAAGAAGCTTAATCTTTTTAAGGGCACCAGGACTCAGTTCCACTTGCATAGTTCGTTTAGAGAAAACCTCATGCTCATCCTTCAAGCATGAAACCTTGTAAGTTTTATCACAAATTCAAAAATAATTGTTGTCTTCTTATAAATTTACATACTAGAGACATATTTAGAATATTCTCCAACTGTTGAGGCATATTTTGATTCTTCTCTACGTGTTGAGACATATTTGGAATATTCTCCAACTTTTGAGGCATGTTAGGATTCTGCTCCAACTGTTGGGGCATGTTTGGAATCATCTTAAATTGTTGAGGCTTATTTGGATTCTTTACTAACTGTTGAGGCATACTTGGAACCATCTCCAACTGTTGAGGCATGTTTGATATCATCTCTAATTTTTGAGGCATATTAAGAAACTTCTCCAAATGTTGAGGTGAATTCGGAATCATCTCCAATGGTTGAGGCATATTTGGAATCATCTACAACTATTGAGGCATATTTGGGATCTTCTCCAACTTTTGAGGCATATTTGTATTCTTCTCAAACTGTTGAGGCATATTTGGTATCTATTCCACCTGTATAGACATATTCTTTTTACTCCAACTGTTGAGGCATATCCATCTGTTGAGGCATATTTGGAATCATCTCAAACCGATGAGGCATATTTCGAATCATCTCCAACAATTGAGGAATATTTGGAATCATCTCCAACTGTTGAGGCGAATTTGGAATCATCTCCAATAGTTGAGGCATATTTGGAATCATCTCCAACTGTTGAGGCGAATTTAGAATCACCTTCAACTGTATAGACATATTTGGAATCATCTCCAACTGTTGAGACATATTTGGAACCATCTCCAACTGCGGAGACATATTTGGAATTATCTCAAGTTAATAAGAAATATTTTGATTCATATCCATCTGTTGAGGTATATTAGGAATCATCTCCAACTGTTGAGGCATATTTAGATCATCTCCAACTATTGAGGCAAATTTGGAATCATCTTCAACAGTTGAGGCATATTTCGAATCATCTCAAACTGTGCAGGAAAATTGGAATCATCTTAAATAGTTGAGGCATATCTGGAATCATCTCCAACTGTTGAGGAAAATTTGGAATCATCTTCAACAGTTAAGGCATATTTAAATCATCTCCAACTGTTGAGACACATTTGGAATCATCTCCAACTTTTGAGTTAAATTTGGAATCATCTTCAACAGTTGAGGCATGTTTGAAATCATCTTCAACTATTGAGACACATTTGGAATCATCTCCATTTGTTGAGACACATTTGGAATCATCTCCAACTGTTGAGGTATATTTTGAATCATCTCCAAATCTTGAAGAATATTTGGATTCTCCTTAAACTGTTGAGACATATTTGGAATCTTCTCCAACATTTGAGTCATATTTTTATAATTCTCCAAATTCTCAGGCATATTCTGAATCATCTCCAATTGTTGAGGCATATTTGGAATCATCTCAAACTATTGAGGTATATTTGGAATCATCTCCAACTATTGAGGCAAATTTTGAATCATCTCCAACACTTGAGGCATGTTTGGAATCATCTCCAACTGTTGATACATATTTGGAATCATCTCCAACTGTTGAGGCATATTTAAAATCATCTCGAGTTGTTGAGAAATATTTGGATTCTTCTCCATCTGTTGAGGGATATTTGGAATCATCTCAAACTGTTGAGGCATAGATAAAATCAACTCCAACAATTGAGGCAAATTTGGAATCATCTTCAAGAGTTGAGGAATATTTGGAATCATCTCCAATTGTGGAGGCAAATTTGGAATCATCTTCAACAGTTTAGGCATATTAGGTATCATCTCCTACTATTGAGGCAAATTTGGAATCATCTTCAACACTTGAGGCATATTTGAAATTATCTCCAATTATTGAGACACATTTGTAATCATCTACAACTGTTGAGGCAAATTTGGAATCATCTTTAACAGTTAAGGTATATTTGGAATCATCTCCAACTATTGAGACACAATTAGAATCATCTCCAACTGTTGAGACACATTTAGAATCATCTCTAACTATTGAGGTATATTTTGAATCATCTCCAAATATTGAAGCATATTTGGATTCTCCTTCAAAAATTGAGGCATATTTCGAATCATCTTCAACTGTGGAGGCAAATTTGGAATAATCTTCAACAGTTAAGGAATATTTGGGATCATCTCCAACTGTTGAGGAATTTTGGAACCATCTTCAACAGTTGAGGCGTATTTAAATCATCTCCAACTGTTGAGACACATTTGGAATCATCTCCAACTGTTGAGGGAAATTTAGAATTATCTTTAACAGTTGAGGCATGTTTGAAATCATCTCCAACTATTGAGACACATTTCGAATCATCTCCAACTGTAAAGACACATTTGGAATCATCTCCAACTATTGAGGTATATTTTGAATCATCTCCAAATCTAGAAGAATATTTGGATTCTCCTTCAACTGTTGAGACATATTTGGAATCTTCTCGAACATTTAAGTCATATTTTTATAATTCTCTAAATTCTGAGGCATATTCTGAATCATCTCTAATTGTTAAGGCATATTTGGAATCATCTCAAATTGTTGAGGTATATTTGGAATCATCTCCAACTATTGAGGCGAATTTGGAATCATCGCCAACTCTTGAGGCATGTTTGGAATCATCTCAACCTGTTGAGACATATTTGGAATCATCTCCAACTGTTGAGGCATATTTGGAATCATCTCAAGTTGTTGAGGAATATTTGGATTCTTCTCCATCTGTTGAGGCATATTTGGAATCATCTCAAAATGTTGAGGCATAGCTGGAATCATCTCCAACAATTGAGACAAATTTGGAATCATATTCAATAGTTAAGGCATATTTGGAATCATCTACAACTGTGGAGCCAAATTTGGAATCATCTTCAACAGTTGAGGCATATTTGGTATCATCTCCAACTGTTTAGGGAAATTTGGAATCATCTTTAATAGTTGAGGCATATTTGAAATCATCTCCAACTGTAGAGACACATTTGGAATCATCTCCAACTGTTGAGGGAAATTTGGAATCATCTTCAACAGTTAAGGCATATTTGAGATCATTTCCAACTATTGAGACACAAATGGAATCATCTCCAACTGTTGAGACACATTTAGAATCATCTCCAACTGGTGAGATATATTTTGAATCATCTCCAAATCTTGAAGCATATTTGGATTCTCCTTCAACTGTTGAGACATATTTGGAATCTTGTCCAACATTTAAGTCATATTTGGAAAATTCTCCAAATTCTAAGGCATATATTGAATCATCTCCAATTGTTCAGGCATATTAGGAATCATCTCCAACTGTTGAGACATATTTGGAATTATCTCCAACTGTTGAGGCATATTTGGAATCATCTCCAACTATTTAGGCATATTTCTAATATCCTCCAAGTGTTGAGGTGAATTTGGAATCATCTCCAACTGTTGAGGAATTTTTGGAATCATCTCAAACTTTTGAGTCATATTTGGAATCCTCTCCAACTGTTGAGGCATATTTGGAATCATCTCCAACTGTTGAGGAATATTTGGAATCATCTCGAACTGTTGAGGAAAATTTGGAGTCATCTCTAACAGTTGAGGCATATTTAAAATCATCTGCAATTGTTGAGGAGAATTTGGAATCATCTCCAATAGATCAGGCATGTTTGGAATCATCTCCAACTGTTGAGACATATTTGAAATCATCTCCAAATGTGTAGCCATATTTGGAATCATCTCAAGTTATTGAGGAATATTTGGATTCTTCTCCATCTGTTGAGGCATATTTCGAATCATCTCAAACTGTTTAGGCAAATTTGGAATCATCTCCAACTGTTTAGGCAAATTTTAAATCACTCAACAGTTGAGGCATATCTTAAATCATCTCAAACTATTTAGGCACATTTAGAATAATCTCAAACTGTTGAGGGAAATTTGAAATCATCTTCAATAGTTGAGGCATATTTGAAATCATCTCAAACTATTGAGACACATTTGTAATCATGTCCAACTGTTGAGACACATTTGGAATCATGTTTAACTGTTGAGACACATTCGGAATCATCTCCAACTATTGAGGTATATTTTGAATCATCTCCAAATCTTGAAGCATATTTGGATTCTCCTTCAACTTCTGAGACATATTTGGATTCTTCTCCAACATTTGAGTCATATTTGGATAATTCTCCAAATTCTGAGGCATATTCTGAATCATATCCACTTGTTGAGGCATATTTGGAATCAGCTCCAACTATTGAGGCATATTATGAATCATGTCCAATTATTGAGGTATATTTGGAATCATATCAAACTGTTGAGGTATATTCGGAATCATCTCCAATAGTTGAGGCGAATTTGGAATCATCTCCAAAAGTTGAGGCATGTTTGGAATCATCTCCATCTGTTGAGACATATTTAAAATCACCTCCAATTGTTGAGGCATATTTGGAATCATCTCAAGTTTTTGAGGAATTTTTGAATTCTTCTCCATCTGTTGAGGCATATTTGGAATCATCTCAAACTGTTGAGGCATATTTGTAATCATCTCAAACTGTGGAGGCAAATTTGGAATCATCTTCAAAAGTTGAGCCATATTTGGTATCATCTCCAACTGTTGAGGAAAATTTGTAATCATCTTCAACAGTTGAGGCATATTTGAAATCATCTCCAACTGTTGAGACACGTTTTGATTTATCTCAAACTGTTGAGGGAAATTTGGAATCATCTTCATTAGTTTAGGCATATTTGAAATCGCCTCCAACTATTGAGACACATTTGGAATCATCTCTAACTATTGAGACACATTTGGAATCATCTCCAACTGTTGAGGTATATTTTAAATCATCTTCAAATCTTGAAGCATATTTATATTCTCCTTCAAATGTTGAGACATATTTGGAATCTTCTCTACCATTTGAGTCATATTTGGATAGTTCTCCGAATTCTGGGGCATATTCTAAATCATCTCCACTTATTGAGGCACATTAGGAATCATCTCCAACTGTTGAGGCATATTTGGAATCACCTCACACTGTTGAGGCATATTTTGAATCATCACTAACTATTGAGGCATATTTCTAATATCTTGTACTTGTTGAGGTAAATTTGGAATCATCTCCAACTGTTGAGGCATTTTCGGAATCATCTCAATATGTTGAGGCATAATTGGAATCATCTCCAACTGTTGAGGCATATTTGGAATCATCTCCAACTATTGAGATATATTTGGAATCATCTCCAACTGTTGAGGCAAATTGAGAAACATTTTTAACAGTTGAGGCATATTTTGAAACATCTCCAACTGTTGAGGCATATTTGGAATCATCTCCAACTGTTGAGGAATATTTAGAATCATCTCCAACTATTGAGGAAAATTTGGATTCATCTCCACCAGTTGAGGCATATTTGAAATCATCTACAATTGTTGAGGCGAATTTGGAATCATCTCCAATAGTTCAGGCATGTTTGGAATCATCTCCAACTGTTGAGACATATTTGAAATCGTCTCCAACTATTGAGGCATATTTGGAATCATGTCAAGTTGTTGAGGAATATTTGGATTCTTCTCCATCTGTTGAGGCATATTTGAAATCATATCAAACTTTTAAGGCAAATTTGGAATCATCTCCAACAGTTGAGGCATATTTGGAATCATCTCCAACTGTTGAGGCAAATTTTAAATCATTCAACAGTTGAGGCATATTTGAAATTATCTCCAACTGTTGAGACACATTTGGAATAATCTCCAACTGTTAAGGGAAATTTGTAATCATCTTCAATAGTTAAGGCATATTTGAAATCATCTCAAACTATTGAGACACATTTGGAATCATCTCCAACTGTTGAGACACATTTGGAATCATCTCCAACTTTTGAGGTATATTTTGAATCATCTCGAAGTCTTGAAGCATATTTGGATTCTCCTTCAACTGTTGAAACATATTTGGAATCTTCTCCAACATTTGAGTCATATTTGGATAATTCTCCAAATTCTGAGGCATATTCTGAAACATATCAACTTGTTGAGGCATATTTGGAATCAGCTCCAACTGCTGAGGCATATTATGAATCATCTCCAATTGTTGAGGTATATTTGGAATCATATCAAACTGTTGAGGTATATTTGGAATCATCTCCAACTGTTGAGGCGAATTTGGAATCATCTCCAACAGTTGAGGCTTGTTTGGAATCATCTCCAACTAATGAGGCATATTTGGAATCATCTCAAGTTGTTGAGAAATATTTGGATTCTTCTCCATCTATTGAGGCATATTTGGAAACATCTCAAACTGTTGAGGCATATTTGGAATCATCTCAAACTGTTGAGGCAAATTTGGAATTATCTACCACAGTTGAGGCATATTTGGTATCATCTTTAACTGTTGAGGAAAATTTTGAATCATCTTCAACAGTTGAGGCATATTTGAAATCATCTCCAACTGTTGAGACACGTTTGGAATTATCTCAAGCTATTGAGCGAAATTTGGAATCATCTTCAACAGTTGAGGCATATTTCAAATCATCTTCAACTATTGAGACACATTTGGAATCATATCCAACTGTTGAGACACATTTGGAATCATCTCCAACTGTTGAGGTATATTTTGAATCATCTCCAAATCTTGAAGTATATTTGGATTCTCCTTCAAATGTTGAGACATATTTGGAATCTTCTTCTAACATTTGAGTCATATTTGGATACTTCTACAAATTATGAGGCATATTCTGAATCATCTCCAATTGTTGAGGCATATTTGGAATAACCTCCAACTGTTGAGGCATATTTGGAATCATCACCAACTATTGAGGCATATTTCTAACATCCTCTAATTGTTGAGGTGAATTTGGAATCATCTCGAACTGTTGAGGAATTTTCGAAATCATCTCAAACTGTTGAGGCATAATTTGAATCATCTCTAACTATTGAGGCATATTTGGAATCATCTCCAACCGTTGCGACATATTTGGAATCATCTCCAACTGTTGAGGCAAATTAGAAAACATCTTTAACAGTTGCGGCATATTTGGAATCATCTCCAACTGTTGCGGTAAACTTAGAATCATTTAAAACTCTTGAAGCATATTGGGATTTCTTTAACTGTTAAGCCATATTTTGAATAATCTCCAACTGTTAAGGCATATTTAAGATCTTCTCCAAGTGTTGAAACGAATTTGGAATCATTTCCAACAGCTGAGGCATATTTAGAATCATATCCAACTAAGGCATATTTGGAATCATCTCCAACCGTTGAGGCAAATTTGGAATCATCTCCAAAAGTTGAGACATATTTGGAATCATGTCCAACTGTTGAGACATAGTTGGAATCATCTCCAACTGTTGAGGTATATTTGAATTCTTCTCTAACAGGTGAGGCATATTTGGAATCATCTCTAACTGGTGAGTCATATTGGAAATCAGCTGGAACGGTTGTTGTATATTTAGAATGATCTCAAACTCTTGGAGCGTATTTGGATTCTCCTCCAACTGTTGATGTACATTTGGATCCAAATGTTGAGGCAAATTTGGAATCATCTCCAACAGTCGAGGCATATTTGGAATCATCTCCAATAGTTGAGGCATATCTGGAATCATCTCCAATTGTTGAGGCATTTTTGGATTCTTCTCCAACTGTTGAGGTATATTTGGATCAACTGTTGAGGAAAATTTGGAATCATCTCCAACCCTTGAGACATGTTTGGATTCTTCTCCAACTGTGTCTCCATTGAGTGGTTGGATGATACATGAACATCAAAAAGAGTTAGAGATCTTCTTACTTAGCAACTTCAACCATCAGAATGATGCTTATATTATGTAATATCGATTATCTAAGCAATAACTAGTCATCAAGATAAATAACAGAGAGAATCAAATATATTTAAGACACTTCACTGTCATAATTTCTTTACATAAAAGACCATGACATTTAAATTTATGCTTTCCCTCTCTCTATGGCCCTCTTTAGTATGCGCTCTCCCTTTTCAGCCATCCGAGTACACGCACACTCCCCTTCTCCACACACACACACCCCTCTCTCTTTCTCTACTAGTGACCTATCTCTCATGTAATCTAAACCCTGCAACGACAAGTAAGTGACATCTTTCTATCTTCTTCAGTCCTTCTCCCATTCAACTATACAATTCATCCTTGCAACTTTCTATTTCCAATTTGCCTTTCACCCTTTCTAGCAAGGCCCAACCAACACAACTACTATCCTAGGCCAAAAATATGGACATCCATGTAAGAATCAGATCTCTCATGAAAGAACCAGAAACTTTTAGTGACATCTAAAAAGTTCTAGCCAACATTGACAATGTCCACAGTTAAGTTTCTTCGTCGTGCTACCAGCTAGGTTTATTGTTCCTCCTTTTCTCTTTATTTCTTGATTTTCAATTCTTATTTTCATAAATATTTCTTGTTTTTTATTTATTCTCTTGTTCTATAGGGTTATTGGTATTTATCATTCATGTTGCCAATTTCTTCCTTGATGCCCTACAAGTGGCGTAATTCGGAATAGATTTTTCGTAATTTATGTTCTATTTCTTATTAATTTGTGCATACAATCAGGGATAGATTTTTGAGAAATTCCTTCTTTATTAACTTATTGATTTCTGCTTACTTGACTCATGATTGTTGTTACTCCCTATTTAGCTTGTATCAACTTTGATGTCTTTAGTGAACTATATTGGATTAAGGTCATATCTTCGGATAGGACTAGGGGTAAGGGAAAGGAGTGGTAAGTGGGGTAAGGTGACTTTAAGTCTATAGGTAGGTCTTGGAACATACGAAATTGATGCGGAAATCCATTCAACTAGTACATCCTAAAGAAAAGGATTATTAGTCATTGTGTCTAGAAGACCATGTGGGAGGTATCAATGAATGGGATATTGATGGATTTAAGTCATGGTACTCACGAATCACGAGGGATAGGAATAAATTAGGTATTTTTTTAGATGATGACTTAAGGAATAAAGTGGTGTAGGTTAGGAGGACTAATAAGATGATGATGACAATTAAGCTAGTCATTGAAAGGCATAGTTTGAACGTTATAAGTGCTTACGCACCTCAACTTGTCTTGGATGAGAAGTTCCAAGAATACTTTTGGGAGGAGTTGGACAAGTTAGTAAGGGGTACACCACACACCAAGAATATCGTCATTGGTGGAGAGTTTAATTCCCACATTGGAGTAACACCTAGTAGTTTTGGTGATATATGTGCATGGAGGCTTTGCTTTTGGCGATAAACATTGAGGTGGAACATTAATTTTTTATTTCCCTAAAAATTCTGCATTGGTGATACCTAACTCGTGCTTTCTAGAGGAGGAGAACCAATTGGTTACCTTCCATAGTTTGGTGGCTAAACCTTAGATAGATGATTTACTCTTTAGGAAGGGTAATATAGGCTTTTATAGGACTGCAAGATGGTCCCAAGTTAGAATTTTACTACCCAACATAAGTTTTTGGTGATTAATCCTAAGATTAAGAGAAAGAGGAGGAAGAAGACTTTGTATAATCGATTGAGAAATAAATTGATAGTTTGACCTATGCCCTCTCATGAGATGACAGAGAAGTTAATGATGATTGGGGATTGAAGGAGGACATGGAATGAAAACTATATGTGGAAAAACTCAACCAATTACATTATGAAAACAACTATAGAGATGATAGGAGATTCAAGGGATAACATAGGTGGTGACCGAGGGGATTCTTGATAAAAATAGACAAGTCCAAGGCAAAGTAAAAAAGAAGAAAGTTTTTTTGTATAAAATTGGCAGAGTACAATGATAAGGGGGCTAAATGTATGAATAAGAAAATATATAAGGCATCAAAGACAGGGGATATGTTAACAATTACAACACAAAAAATGGAAGCTTTCGAACAATTGTATGCTGATTTAGGGGATAAGGTAGACAGAAGAAATTGTAAATGGTTGCATAGGCAAGATAGGCATGAATTCTTGAGACCTAGATCAGGTACATCAATGATGAGGAAGACAAAGTGTTGTCTTAAGAGATCCTTATTAGGTAAAGATGATAAACATACTTCCACAAATGCTTGAACGGAAGAAGGGATACAAAGATTATATTGGCTTATTTGGAGCACTCTAAAAGTCAGTGAGAATTTGGATACAAAAGGTTTATTAAAGTAGATTAGTTTAAGTGTGCTATTGATAATATGAGTAGGGGAAGATCCATATAACCAGATGAGATGTCGATGAAAATTTGGAAAAGCATAGACATAAAAGGTATAAAATTGTTAAATAGGTTGTCTAATGTAATTTTTAAGATGACAAAAGTTCCCAAATAATAGAGTTTGATTACAATAGCTCGTTATGTAAAAAAAAAGTTTAATATACAAATACTATAAAAATTACACATTCATGAAGCTGCTAAGGTTCTACAAAATTTTGGGAGAAGGTGGTGAAGTTTAGCGCGAGAAGGGGTGTGTCCATTTTTGTGAATAAGTTTTGATTCATGATGGAGTGATCGACTATAGAAGTCATCAATTTGGTAAGGATACTAATGGAGGCTTTGGTTTGGGGATAGAAATGGAGGTGGAACATTACTTCTGGATTTTGGTAAAGCTTTTGCATAGGTGATAGATGACTCATCTTTTTCAAAGGAGGAGAACTACATGGTTACCTTTTTATAGTGTGGTGGCTAAAACTTAGATAGACTAGTTACCCTTTAGGAAGGGTGATAGAATTCTTCATAGAACTGCAAGATTATTCTGTGTAGAAATCTTATTATACGACACAAGTTTTTGGTGAATGACCTAAACATTAAGAGAAAGGGGAGGAAGAAGACTTTGTATAATTGTCCGAGAAATAAATTGGGTAGTATGACTCGTGCCTTATCTCATGAGATAATGGATAAGTTAATGAATAATGATGATTTTATCTTGTCTGAGGAGTGGGAATTAATGCAAAGTACATGTGGGAAAACTCTACTAATTACATTATGAACAAAACTAGAGAGGTGCTAGGAGTTTCAAAGTGGAAATGAAGAAGGTTTCTTACGTAAAATTGGTAGAGTTCAATGCTGGGGATACGAATAAGGAAATATATAAGGGATCAAAGGCAGTGGCGACAATGGATATGTTGACAATTTAACACATAAACTTTAGAAAGTTTGTATTTCGATGTAGTGGATAAGGTAGAGAGAAGAAACTACACATGCTTTTAAAGTAAAGAGAGATGAATGATTGATACATTGTTAAAGTTAAGGGAATCAACAATGAGGAATACAATTTGTTGGTAGAAGAGACCCTCATTAGGCAAAGTTGGCAAGCATACTTCCCCAAACTCTTGAACAAAGAAAGAGACAGAGACATTATGTTGGGTAATTTGTAGAAATCTATAAAACATTGAGAATTAGGATATTGTAGATGTAATAAAGTAGAGGAATTTAAGTATGCTGTTAATAGGATGACTAGGGAAAGATCCATTTGACCATGTAAGATTCCGGTTAAATTTAGAAGAGCACAGTCATATAAGGTATAATGAGGTTAACTGGGTTGCTTAATGTCATTTTTAAGATGACAAAAGTTCCCTAAGAATGCATGGTACAAAAAAGGGTAATATCCAAACTATTAATAATTATAGAGGCATATGTTGCTAAGGACATTGTCAAATTTTGGGAGAGGATGGTGAAGATGAGGGCTAGAAGGGGTATGTCCATTTTTGTTAAT